CTGAAGTATCATAACTGAAGCAATATCAAAACAGTTAGTTCTTAAACAATTTTACCAGTAGCTGATTTAAACTTGATCAGAATTCAAATAGCAAATTGCCTTGTTATAGAACTTAAAACGCATAACAGTGGATCACTATGGCTACAATTTTCCATTACAAACATCTTAAGAATTAAGAAATGACTCCAAATATTCCTTTGCTACGATTGGAGAAAATTTCATGACAACCACAGCCAAATACATCAACTGACCAGACACCATACATTCACCATACATGACTTATTATGGGAGCAAAGTGAATGGAATGCTTGCAACAGTTAAATTGTGTGTTGTGGAAGACTACCTCTGTCAGAGCCTGTAGTCAATCGTGGGTATCGGGTGTTTGAAGGGATTCGAATCCGTCCACTTTTACTCGGAGCAAAAGCCAAGCTGCTTGATGAACCTGCTGAAAAACCAAAACAGAAGGTTTAGTGGTCGCTATGCTGCAAAGATATCAGGTAGTATTGATAAAACAAAAATGAGAAGGTGAAGAATTACCAATACGTGCACTGGCTGGCAGAGACTGTGTTCCATGTGATGCTGTGCTTCTAGAGGACTCCAACAAATCAGCTGAGTGTTTGTTGTCTGAGCCAGTCAGATCCAAGCTATGATGTGTGAGATGTTGTGGGCTAAAAAGCAAAACAATTAAGTTGTATTCAATGATAGTTTATGTTTTTTTTATATCAGCATGTAGAATTCTCCAACAGAAGTGCAAATTCAAAACATGAATTTAGAAATGAAAGTATTATATATTTAACCCTCTGCTTATGTCATGGCCAAAACCAATCATTCTTTGTCCCCACCTAGTTCTGAAGATAATTTTATTTAACTTTTACAACCAATTCCGCAGTTTTTGAGTCACAGTGCTGACCGCATTTTATCCCATAAGATCCAATTTCCTGAACTCTTTGTCACTAAACTAAACTAAACTAAACTAATTTCATCAACCGCCCTCAAACTAATTGACATTTAATGATTGTCTCCATATCTTATAACACCCATCATCTACTGCCTCAAAAGAAATTACCTTCAATCCCTTCCAATCTCCAACTTCCTTTTTATCTTCAAAACCTGAAAACATTTTCTGACATCCAAATTGTGCTGAGGTTTGATTATTCAAACCTAAACTAAGTATCTGACTCTATGTGCTGTCCACCATCTCTACATACTGCCTTACTCAGCCAATCTTCTGTTCAAACTCCTGTCCTTTCCCTTTCCAGATTCATCCAATACAATGTTTTCTATGCTGGCCTCCCTCCCTCCAGCAGATCCAGAGTAGTGAAAGAATGGTGACAGTTCAAGTTATGATAGTGTGTGCAGCATACAAGGGAACTTGCAGGTAGTGGTGTTCCTGTACGTCTGTTGCCTTTTTCCTCCAGGTGACAGAAGCCATCCGTTGAAGTGAGCTTGGCAAATTGCTACAGTCCATCTTGAATATGGTATGTACTTCTGTCATTGTGCATTGGTGATGGAGGGGGACAGTATTTTAAAGTGCTGGATGGGAGTGCTAATCAAGCGGCCTGATTTGCCCCGGATGATAAAAGCAAAATACCGCAGATGCTAGAAATCTGAATTAAAAACACCAAGTTCTATAAAAACTCCGCAAGCCTGGCAGCATCTGTAGAGACAGAAACAGAGTTACTGTTTCAAATCTAGTATGACTGTTCTTCAGACTGAAAGGAGCTGGGAAATGGTGTTTTTATATTGTTGATGGACAGAGAGGAGGAGCAAGTAGAACAAATTGCGAAGGTGCCCATAGCAAAAGACAAAGGAAATGCTAATGGATGGTGAACGAAATAGAAATATAAGTTGTCACAAATTAGGGTTTGAAAATGGGTCTGCTGTGCTGTGAGGTTAGCATGGGTATAAGATATCTTATTAAAAATGGGAAGCAAGTGGAAGATCAGTGTAACTCCCACTGACAGAATGGAGGTGTTCTGCAAGTCAATCACCCAGTCTGCAATTGATCACGCCAGTTTAAAGGAGGCCATGCTCTGAGCACAGAATACTGCACACTAGTTTGAAAAAAGTAAAACCACTCCCTTTGTCTTTTGGTCTGGGCACCCTCACAATCTTTTCCATATGCTCCTCCTCCCCCTCTGTAAGCAACCATCATTTTCGAGCTGCTTTCAGTTCTGAAGAGGAGTCATCCTGAACTCAAAACATTAACTCTATTTTTCTTTCTAGATATGCTGCCAGACGTGCTGAGTTTCTCCAGTAGTTTCTGCTTTTATCTGTCATAGATGATGTTGAACTTCTACAGTATTTTTGGAGCTGCAGCAATTGGAGCATATTCCATCACATTTCTGACCTACCTTGGAGATAGGGATAGGCTTTGGGAAGTCAGATGGTGAGTCACTTGATACAGAATTCCTAACCTCTGACCTTCTCTTGTATTCACAGTATTAGTAAGACAAGATCAATTAAGTTTCAGGTCAAAGGTCAACACTACCACTTGCCCTTCCCCATAAGGCCTCCCCCTTACAACTTCTATCTTGAATCAAGCTTTTGGTCATCTTTCTGAATATCTTCTTTGGCATTGAGGTTTTGTTGATTATGCTTATGAAGCAGAACGGAATGTTTTCAAGATTAAAACTGTCCCATCAATTTTTGAACTGTTGTTGCAAGATTAGTGGTGCATCCAATGTGATGTCATTTAAGATTTAATTTTAAAAGCTGTACATATAGTGCCATCTTAAATTTTTTTTGCTAAATCTGGTTCAGCCAGTCTAAAGCTATAATGAATGTTTCAAGTATTCTCACCTAAAACTGTCAAAGGCATGCACAGATTCTGGAAAGCAAATTGCACTCTGAGGCCTATGCCGGGTCCGTGGAGAACCATTAAAGCTTTCAGTTGGTGAATGGTTTCTTGCTCTACTTTAAATAGGAGGAAAACAAACTGTAAGTGATTTAAAAAGGTTTCCTGATCCGATATATAATACTTGCGCCAGGATTTCTCTCCTAAGAATAGAAACACTAATTTGGCACGAACGTTTTTAACTGCTCAGCAAAGGTTTTTTACAATAAAATTCTCTTATCTATTATTTGGAATAGTTTTAAAATACCTGTTTTAAGCCACTTACACTGAATCAAACCCAAGATGTTGGGCTTTAATCAGTATTAAAATACATATACCTTTATCCAGTAAAGTTCAGCTGTTGGCACTGCGTCATAGGCAGGTAAAGTTTATTTTAAAACTTATATAGAAATATGCTTTTTAGGTGCTGAAAGATCATTATCAGAGTACTTTTACTCAATGTTCTTTTACAAAAACTTTTAAGTACACAAGACAGCTCATTGCTAGCCAAATCTAATGGGTGATTAATACCTATGCTGTTGTTGGGGATAGCACATCTGACTAGCCATGGAAGGATAGTTGGTACTGTGGACCATACGACTCCGAACCGTGAAGAAAGGAACGTTTGGATTCCGCAGGACTGCTGTCACAGCTGGACAAGGCACAAAGTTTCTCTGTACATTGCCTGTGTTTGAAAGGTAGAAATTATGTTTAAATGGTCACACCACTTAAACAAACACCTTCATTTATACATTCTTTAATGAAAAGTAGGAAACAAATTAAAGCAGAAGTGAGCAATGTTCAAGAAAGCCAACAGTTTTTTTTCCAAGCTGTTACTCAATTAGAAAAACGTAGATCCTAAACATAGACAGAAAGGCATCCAGTGAAAACTTAATACTTGACCCTCCTGGCAGTGGAAAACTTAGTTATTTAGTTTATAAAAAATCTTTCATGATTTTGAACACCTTTTCCAAATCCCCTTTTATCCTCCCTGCTCTCAGTACAATATCAATTTTTCTATTTTTTGTGTAACAGGAGGCCCTCAGCCCTGGCTCAATTCTGGTAAATCTCCCATCACCCTACGGAAAGCTTTCACATACTCCTGAAATATGGTACCTAGAATTGAAAAGAATACTTCAGTTGAGGCCAACCAGTGACTTTTAACGGCTTATCTTAACTTACTTGTATTTGTACTCCATGTCACTGTTTGTAAAGCCAAACATTCAGGATGAATTTTTAACAAACTTACCCACATCGAGTCGTAGAGTCAAAGAGATCTAAGCACAGTCAAGTCTGCACTGGCCAAAAACAACCACCTAACTATTCTAATCCAATTTTCCAGCACTTGGTCCTTTGCCTACACGCAAGTGTACATCCAGATATTTAAATGTTGAAGGTTTATGTCTCTACCACTCTGAGAAGCAGAGTTCCAGGATTCCCACACCACCCTCCAGGTGAAAAACTGTTTCCTCATATCCGCTTTAAACCTCCAGGCCCTACCTTAAATCTCTGCCTATTTATCCCTGATCCCTTCATCAAAGAGATAGATTCACCCTATGCCCCTCATAATTTTATATATCACAATCAGGTCCCCCCTCAGTCTCCTCTGCTGCAAAGAAATTAATCCTGATCTAGCCAATCTCTCTGCAGAATTAAAATTCTCCAGCCTAGGCAACATCCTGGTAAATTTCCTCTGCAACCTCTCTAGTGCAATCACAACCCTCCTATCATGTAAATTCCAGAAATGCACACAGTACACAAGCAGTCACCTAACCAACATTTTATACATCGCCAGCATCACCTCCCCGCTCTTAAACACTTGTACCTCAGCAAATAAAGACAAGTTCTTAACTACTTTATCTAACTGTCCTGCTACCTTTAGCAATTGGTGAACATGCATACCAAGGTCCATCTGATCCTTGGTGCTTCTCAGAGTCCTGCTGTTCAACACATATTCCCTTGCTTTGTCTGTCCTGCCCAAGTCACCTCACACGTATATGGATTGAATTCCACTTGGACTGCCATTTTAAAAGATTTGTGTATCTCTCTGCCCTGCACCTTCTTTCAAATTGTACCATTCAGTTTACATTGCCTGTCCTCATTCTTCCTTTCAAAATGCAGCTGCAATAAATTTGTAATGATTGAGATTAACATTTCAAAGTTTTTTCATCTATGGTTTTAACATACTATATGTAAACTACTACAGATACAACATATATACAACCAAAGACTAGTGATATTTAAATTATGATGCATGTTAATTAACTAAAATCACCCACATTTTGTTTCTATACATTGTTATATTCATGTAGGCAATACACTAATTATGTTGGAGTTTTGGCTGGCCAACAACATTTAGATTTAACAGAGTAAATACATTTATTTACTGATGAACAATAACTCTCGAATTTCATGTCCAAAGGTTTGGATTATGTTTTGAATCGCATTTTAAGAAAGTGCAGAAACAAGGATATGATTCAAAACACAAGAATTTAAAAATTTAGTTCGGGTTACGTCTGCTTCTTATTCATATGCTTCTTAATAGCACCAGATGTCCTAAAAATTACCTTATGAACTAACCTGCTGATGCTGGACTATTATAGCCTACAGGTACATAGCCACTACTGTGCCTATGTGAGCGTTTTGGTGCGTTCCGGTGCCATTCGTGTAGTTCCAAAGAGAGGTGTTCTTCACTTGAATTGTACTTGAGAATTGGTGAGCAAGATACATGACTCTCATAGTGTGATTGGGGGTCAATATTTTCCTGCGAATATAAATAGTGACATTCAAATCATCTACAGTATACAATTCTTCACGGAAAAGCAAGAGGGCTTCCAGAATCTTTTCTGAACTTGGTTCATATTTTTCTAGCACCTTGTTAGCTTTTTTGTACTGGCATCTTCATTACTTCATACCTTTCGACTCTCTCTCTCTGGGTACCACAATGTAACTACCATACTGAAAACAGAACACACTCATGTCAGTGCTTCTCTTCAACCAAGTACATAAGCAGAGTCTGCTCAGAATTTGCCTTTTTGCCATACTTGTAAGTCTCAGAACTTTCTCAGACATCCTACTATTCTGGAGCTTAGTATGGTGAAAACATTCCTCCATCTTCCTCAACATCATTTCCAGCATACTTTTGAAACCTTCTCTTCATTTTCAAACACCCTTCACAGGGAATTCTTGCCTTAATATCTCCCAAGAACTTTTTCACCTGCAACTCTAGCTGATTCTCAAGTTGCATTTTTCCAGTTCAAAGCAATTAATAATTTGCTTCATTTTAATACAAACCCTGCTAGCTGTTACAGTACTTTTAAGTTGCTCTCATTGACAATAGGTGAACAAAGAATAGCATCATGGTCAGCAGAGACATGGTGGGCTGAAGGGCCTATTCTATTATCTAAAAAGACACAGTGAGCGACAAGCTTAAAATTCCAGCTGTTTCGTCTTCTCTATATCTGTTCCATTTTAAGCACTATTTTTATAACAACTACCTGCAGTATCGTTGACCAAACTAGCTGTACGAATGTATGAAATTTAACAGTGTGAAGGAACAAAATTCAAACATGAAGCAAATTCAACTGTTCTGCTCAAGTACTTGTACTGCATGTAATGCTGGCTCTGAAAATAAGCTCTTCGAGCTGCACTTCATTTTCCAGTTTACCAGATGTCTACTTTTGACTAAAGGCATCATTTCTGAGACCTTGCTAAAAAAATAAAAGGCACACCATGATTTAGGATGGAAGGATCACCTGGCATTGACCTGGGCACTGGAAAAGTCAACGGCAGTAACAGCCCTGGCGAGCCTACAAAGTCCTCCTCACTAACAACTGGGGGTTAGTGCCAAAATTAGGAGAGCTGTCTCACAGACTAGTTAAGCAACAGCCTGACATCGTCATACTCACAGAATCATACCATACAGACAATGTCCCAGTTACCACCATCACCATCCCTGGATATGTCCTGTCCCACCGGCAGGACAGACCCAGCAGAGGTGGTGGCACAGTGGTATACAGACAGGAGGGTGTTGTTCTAGGAGTCCTCCAATTGACTCCGGACCACACGAAGTCTCATGGCTTCAGGTTAAACATGGGCAAGGAAATCTCATGCTGATTACCACATACCATCCTCCCTCAGCTGATGAATCAGTACTCCTCAATGTTGAACAATACTTAGAGCAAGCACTGAGGATGGCAAGGGCACAATATGAACATGGGTGGGGAATTTCAATGTCCACCACCAAGAATGGCTCGGCAGCAGTACTACTGATCAAGCTGGTTGAGTCCTAAAGGACATAGCTACTAGACTTGGTCTGCGGCAGGTAGTGAGGAAAGCAACAAGAGGGAAAAACATACTTGTCCTCATCCTTACCAATCTGGCAGCTGCAGTTGCATCTGTCCCTGACGGTATTGGTAAGAGTGGCCATCGCACAGTCCTTGTGGAGATGAAGTCCTGCCTGTTGTGTGGCTCTATCACCGTGCTAAACGGGACAGACTTCACACAAATCTAACAAATCAAGACTGGGCATCCATGAGAGGCTGTGGGCCATCAGCAGAAGTGTATTCCAGCACAATCTGTGACCTCATTGCCCGGCATATCCCCCACTCAACCATTACCATCAAGCCAGGGAATCACCCTGGTTCAATGGAGAGTGCATGAGGGCATGCCAGGAGCATCACTAGGCATACCTGAAGATGAGGCGTTAACCTGGTAAAGCCACTACACAAGACTACTTGCACGCCAAACAGCAAAAGCAGCAAGTGATAGACCAACCATCTTCAGCTGCTTCATCAATGACTTTCTCGGCATCATAAGGTCAGAAGTGGGGATGTTCGCCGATGATTGCACAACATTCAGCACCATTCATGACTCTGCAGATATTGAAGCAGCCCCTGTTCAAATGCAACAAGATCTGGACAATATCCAGGCATGGGCTGACAAGCAGCAAGTGACATTTGCGCCACACAAATACAGGCTATGACCATCACCAATAAGAGACAATCTAACCACCGCCCCTTGACATTCAATGGTGTTACCATCACTGAATCCCCCACTATCAACATTCTGGGTGTTACTGACCAGAAACTCAACTGGACTCACCACATTATCACAGTGGCTACAAGAGCAGGTCAGAAGCCAGGAATACTGCGACGAGTAACTCACCTGCTGACTCCTCAAAGCCTGTCCACCATCTACAAGGCACAAGTCAGGAGTGTAATGGAATACTCCCCACTTGCCTGGATGAGTGCAGCCCCAACAACACTTGAGAAGCTTGACACCACCCAGGATAAAGCAGCCCGCTTGACTGACACTACATCCACAAGCATCCACTCCCTCTACCACTGACGCTCAGTAGCAGCAGTGTGCAATATCTACAAGATGCACTGCAGAAATTCACCAAAATCCTCAGACGGAACCTTCCAAACCCATGACCACTTCCATCTAGAAGGACAAGAGCAGCAGAAATATGGGAACACCACCACCTGCAAGTTCCCCTCCAAGCCACTCGCCATCCTGACTTGGAAACATATCGCCGTTCCTTCACTGGGTCAAAATCCTGGAATTCCCTCCCTAATAGCATTGTAGGTTAGCCTACAGTGGTTCAAGAAGGCAGCTCACCGCCAACTTCTGAAGGGCAATGAGGGAGAGGCAGCCAGTGACACCCACATCCCACAAATGAATAGAAAAAAACAGAATAAATTACATGCTAACAAGATAAATTTAAAATTTTAAAACACTGCTTGCAGATGCGAAAACAGGTGCTGTCTCAAAACGTAGACAAATACACTTGAATTCAAAGTGCTCTTTCCTATGAGATGGGGTTGCTATTCCAGGTGGGCTTTTTATCTTACAAAGGAGGTTTGCTTCAGCAAAAAGGTTATCAATATGTCAGCTTGTAGCACACATTTCTGAGTGCAGAAATTGCTTCATGGATGGCTGGACACGAATTGATTACTTTTGGAGTATTTTCAGCCTGAGATGCTCACTTACATCTGGATATATTCAATTTTCTTCTATTGCAAATCCTTAAATACTTCATCACAACACATGCTGTTCATATTACTGATGCCAGCACATGAGACAAACTTTGCAAACAGGTCAATTCAACTTCAACAAATTTAATCCTGTACCCTGAAACATCGTTGCGCATAATGCAATGGTTAATTATATACTCTACAAAGACAGCAAAACTTTGGATGCTCAGCTGGAAAAATGTTTATGGCCAGGAAGTCTTACGGGGTTCACCCAATCCTCTGCTATAATTTGGCCGGGGCGGCAAGGTGGCTCAGTGGTTAGCACTGCTGTCTCACAACACCAGGAACCCAGGTTCAATTCTACCCTCAGCGATTGTCTGTGTGGAGTTTGCACATTCTCCCAGTGTCTGCGTGGGTTTCCTCTGGGTGCTCCGGTTTCCTCCCACAGTCCAAAGATGTGCAGGTTGGGTGGAGTAGCCATGCTAAATTGCCGGCAGTGTTCAAGCAAGTGCAGGCTAGATAAGTTAGCCATGGGGAATCCCTACACACTGTAGGGATTCTATGAATTTCAGCAGATCAACATTTAGTTTTCAGTCTATTTCTCCATTTAGATGTTTTTCTGCCAGGAAATGCACGTGGGAAGCTTCAGGACATTGCTTAGGATGATGTTTTGCTGCAATGATTCCCATTGTTATAAAACATGTCAAACGACAAGACTACTCAGACCCCTGGGTATCATGGTAGCCCACGAACCAACGACCACCCTGCGACGGCTACTGACGAATATAAAGGATCCCATACCCACAACCAATAAGACTAACATAATATACAAAATACCATGCAAGGGCTGTCAGAAACATTACATAGGCCAAATGGAAGAAAACTGACAATAAGGATACACAAACACCAAATAGCCAGCAAGAGAAACAACTAGTTCTCATACAGACAAAGAACGACACAAATTTGACTGGGACAACACATCCATAAAGCACAAGCCAAACAGAGATGTGCCAGGGAATTCCTGGAGGCCTGGCATTCCAACTGAAACTCCATCAACCAACACATTGAATGGGACCTGATTTACAAACCACTGAAAAACAGAACCGGAAGTGATGCTGACCACCCCAGCAAACCGAGTCCTATAAACAACAAGCAGGATTGAACACCAATGCTTCACCGGAGGCGCACTGACAATGTTACCTAGCAGGGTGACGAAATGTCTGCAATCAAACACACCGGTTTGGCGAGCAAGTCTACAATCTTATCATACAGATTGTAAATGTTCTCAAATTTCTACCTGTCAAAAACTACCCTTCCATTAATAGGTTTGTCCAATGTAATCAGTAGGCCAAATCTGGGTGGGGATCTATGCTCCTTCATCTTTATCCATTGATTTTATATTTTAATTTCTCATGTGAAACTTAATTAGTAACATTTATTAACTGATTAAGATTACTTGTTCAGTTTTGTTAACAATCTCCTCCCCAACAATAACAGTAATACATTAACTGCATGGAAATCAAGTTGAAGGAGGAGGGAATTCTCACAATTATATTTCATGATTTGATAAATTTCATCACACTGATGATGACTCCACTTTTGTCAACTCTCAAAGAGAGAGAAGTTAGTCAGTGCTAGGATTTTTATGGGAAGACTTGACACCCAATATGCAAGACGATTCCCAAGAAGTGTTTTCAGTCCTACAACTGTTCAAGGAAGAGTCACAGTTTTAAGTATATCAAAGGAATTTCACTATCAACTCACCTTTTAAATGTCAATTATATACATACACAAGAGTTAAAACCTTCACATAAGGTGCATGGCCACCAGTAATATATCAGATAAGACTGCACCAATCCACATCCTCGTCATACCAGTCAGGCATTTTTTTATTTTGAATCACGACTGTCAGGCTTCTCTCAAGTGGCTGGAGCTTGAGATTTACAAGCAGAAATACCATTCTAAGTCATGACTGTAGATCTTAATCTCTAACTGATCTCTGGACATATCGATTATCAAGTACCTTCCCACAAGAATTACCTGAGAATAGCTTTAAAACGATGACTGTAAATATCACATCTTTAACCTACACCATGTCGATAAAAGTACTACCACTCATGATGATCTTTAAACAAGGACAGAAATTTGTCATTTACAAATCAAATATCATTGCATACCTGAGGGGACAGTCCAGAGATAATCAAGGGAGCAAGTTTGCTTGGTCTTAACGCAGGAGCAGATTTTGGTCGTCGTCTGTTCACAGGTTCTTCCTCGACTCTCTGGTTACCTTCTGATTCCTCAGAAGTCCTTGAAGGCATTAAAGCAGTTCCCTCCAAGTACTGACTAGGCTGATAGTGGCCAGCCTTCATATCATGAGCTTCATGTGGTGTCTCTTGTTTTACTCCAAGGGCCACAGGAGACTGAGGCCCTGTGGGGCTGGTTGGAGGTGACCCAGTAGTTATTGTAGAGTCTGAAGTAGAGCTAGTTTGTTGTTTGTGTTTAAATTTGAATGAATCACTCCTCTTAGGTGGTGTTGGAGGTGTTGAACCAGATTCACCCTTTGAGGACTGCAAAGAATGTGCCTGCTTTTGAGTTGGAGAGAGATAATCCATCTTTGGGGGAGTCTGTGGCCTTTTGAAGGTATCTGGATCAAAGATAGGCTTCCTTTGTTTTGGCAGTTTGAATATGGAGAGTTTCCCAAGTTCAGAAGGTGAAACATCCACCATTGTTTTTGGCCAGGTGCCACCACTGTGTTTAGAATTATGTGCTTTATCTGCATCAGTCTCCACCACCACACAATCTGTAACTGTTGGGTCAAACGTAAAGCGTCTTTTGTCATGTTCTGCAATCCCATAACCTTGATCAGAAAATAGCTCTGGGTTGAAAGGGCCTGATTTGTGGTCTGAAAAATTGTGGCAAGTACGATCAGCTGTCCTATGTGTAGTAGACTGCAAAGGACAGCTTGAAAATTGTTTATGTTCACAATAAGTGCCGTCTTCATGACTGGCTCTGTCATTTTTGCTGTCAAGTAAGCTCGAGTCTGTGCTGAAAATGTCAGTCTGTGTTGAACTGTTGTGTTTCAAGTTTCGAGTATTAGGAACCTGTACTTCTGATTCATGAATCCTACAGTTACCAGATTTCTCAGATTCCTTTAGTGTTTCAAGTATGTTCTGTCCACTCCAAGAGGAACTCTGAGGAACCACCTTCAGAGACATAAAAAAGTACAGATTTTCAGTAATTCACAAAGCTACTCAAGTAGGACCTTTTTTTTGTAGCTTGTACACAAAAATACTGTCTCAACAGTTAAGGAGGCTGCATCAGATGTACCTATAATTAGATTAAAAATCAAATACAGCGGGACACTTAGATTTCAAAACAGAAGATAATCTTATCTACAACAAACTTTACAAACATTGCTAGGGATAGATGGCCTACCAAAAATAATATGCATGCGAAGGCAAAGCATTGTAGTTTGATCAGGAATGAAATATCTACTATTTCTTAAATTTTCATATAGCCCCTAGAGCATATTTTGGGTCTGAGTGTTAACATGATATATCCGCTGAAAGTGGTGGACAATATCACAGATATTTCTAAATTTAATCAAAGGAAATACATACATAGGGAATTAAAAAAGTAATGTTTAACAAATTTCTATGAATAGTGGTAGTTTCGTTGAAGGAAGTGGCATTGAATAGAGGTATGCATTTAACATGATAGTTTGGCTTTGTAGTATCCCTCCAAAACAGTTTGAAAGCTCATCTCTAAATACACATATAAGTGTATTTAGATACTGTGAACCAGAAGAGTAAATGGTTGAATTTGCAGAAGTATTAAAACCATGTATAGAGGATTAAGGTAATTGCAGTTTAGCAATCTGCAAAGCTTTCACTGAAAACTGTATCTGCCCAAAATAGTTGTACTTAATGCGTTGCAAATAGAAATCAATTGCAGAGGCTCTATGACAATTTAAAACGTTTATTGTGAATCGTCTGTTACCTACCATCAAGTGGGTGGAATGAATAGTGGGGACGGTAGTTTGAAATAATGCTACTCAAGCACAAAATTCAAACTGAAGAAATTTCAATTAAGCTACAACATGGCAGTTATCAGAATTACAATCAGTACCTTCAGTTTTGATGATGAACTCAGCCATAGTATGGACAATTTAACGTATTTCTATACAATTTATCTGTATATGTCTGCAAAGTCTGTCTGTCCATCTAACAAATTATGATAAAAACTGAAAGAACTGCGGATGCTGGAAATCAGAAACAGCTAAAGAAACAGAAATTTCTGGGAAAACTCAGCAGGGCTGGCAGCTCTATGGAGAAAAATCAGAGAATGTTTCGGGTCCAGTGACTCTTCTTCAGAATTAATGGGAACTAGGAAAAGGTTGATATTTATGCAGAAGATAAGCTGGGGGCAGGGGGAAGAGTAAATGACAGGTGGAGACAGAGCCCAAAGAGAGAGAGAAACAGGTGGACAAACAAAAGAATAGTTAAAGGTCAGTATGGGGAATGGCTAGTTGCTAATGGGGGCTATTAGTAGCTGACAAGGAGTTATGTGTGGTAGCAGCCCATGTGGTGACAAAGCCTGGTGTGTGGGGGTTTGCTAAGGACATGGTCTCAAGCTCTAAAACTGTTGAACTCGATATTAAATCCAGAAGACTGCAGAGTTCCCAAGTGGAAAACAAAGAGCTATTCTTTCAGTTTGTGCTGAGCTTCGCTAGAGCACTACAGCAAGCCTGAGACAGAGATCTTAGCGATGAAACACAGTGGTGTGTTTGCAGAGAGAATGTAGGCATTCTGCAATGCAGTTACTGAATTTCTTTTTCCCAATGTAGAGGAAACTACATTGTGACCAGTGAATAAAGTAGACTAGATTGAGTGAAGTGCAAGTAAAACGTTGCTTTACCTGGAAGGTGCGCTGTGAAGAAGGGTCACTGGACCGGAAACATTAACTCTGATTTCTCTCTACAGATGCAGCCAGACCTGCTGAGTATTTCCAGCAATTTCTGTTTTTGTTTTGTACTTTAAATGAGATGGATTATCAAAAATGTTTTCAAATGAGTTCTTCACACACTACGAAAGTATAGTTTAACATTGTAGTTTCTGGGGAAACCATGCATGGACCAAATATGTGGTGTAGCCTCCTGTCACACTGCATGAATCTACAGGACTAACATGATGATACCCATTCACTTGAGCTAAAGCAAAACTAAAATAAACTGCTGTTCCAACGTCGTAATCTTTTCAGGGTGATATCACGAAACGTGCAGGGCACATTCAAAAGAACAAAGACAATCTTTAAAGACAGGTACATTTTCTGCACATCTGGGAGCATATTCAAGTAGTGCATATTTAGGATGGGGAAAGAGTCCCAGGGGTGCTAAAACACCAGCTGTCAGGATTGATCTGCCAAAGTGTTACACAGGCTTACGTGCAATAGTCAACTCAATATAGTCATCTCTTGTTTAACCAGTGTTTCAGAATTCCATTACCTTACAACCTTACATCTCTCATAAACTGGAATATAATGCCTAGTAAGTCTGGATTAAATTTTAGCACACCCATCGTTCTTTGTTGGTGTTACAATTTCTACACAGGTTCCCCTTCCCTCTCGTATAGTGTATAGTAGATTAGTAAACAATAATTAAAGGGTTAAGCATGCTCAGTTATTTGCAGAAATCTAAGAGATGTTACTTGCTCAGAAAGGTAACGAAGCCTATCGCTGGATACCTCTACTATGATGAAATGCTTTTGTTTTAAAATATATATTTAGACTGTGCTTTCCCTTTGAAGCTCTGAGGAGAAGGTTAGTAGGAAAATGATAATATTGAGGGAATGTGGTGTTATAGTGATTATCACATTCAATTCTGCCTACGAACAAGGGCAGAGCCTCTTGTGAGGTTTTCAATAGGTCACTCAGAACTGTTGAGGATTACCGAACAGTCATTTTTCAACAGTAGATTGGAGGCAGTGGAAGCTAACATTCCAGGCTTTTAGGTTGCTGGTCTGGCGTTTAGGACAATGAAGGTTCATTCCAAAGTAGAGAACTTCCTGTAGGTGAGGCTAATTGTTTCGAGTTAGGGCTCAGGAAAAGCTCTGGGAAATGTGGGGGCTCATAAGAAGCCTCTGAGCCATTAATAGTGCATTGCAGCTGAGAGTGGGGATGAAGAAAGCCCAAAAGCTATGTGTGCTTGATGCAGCTGAGAACGAGTGGAGAAGCCAGGAGTTATATTAGATCAGTGAAGCTAGCTGCTGCAGGCAAGCTGGAATTGTGCCCATGGATAGGCAGTGAACCCAGTTCCAAGAAAGGAGAGCAAATTACCAGATGTGAACAGTTGTTGGGCGAGTCTGTGATAGATCCGCTTCTGAGCGAGTTCCAAAACTAGTTGCTCAACTGGAAACACTTGCAGAGATGACAAAGTTTCAATGAGATTTAGAGACCCACAGTGTCACTAATGTTTGGGAGATTGCTGAGAAATTCATTTGGATCTGTCTTGACCACATTTGCTGTTTGATTTACTATGTATGGCATTTGACTACTGTTCGTCTATTATCTATATTGTGTTAATTCTGGATGTTAGTGTACAAACTGTACATACATTGTAAATTGTATTGCTATTCTAAATTGTATTACTATTCCAAGTTAGCACAGTAAACTTTATTTTGTTTTATTCTATATTCTGGAACCTTGTGTCTTTATTCTCTTAGTAAGTACTTGGAATCTCTCACTTTGTCTGCTTTAAAAAAGATACTGGTCTTTAGCCAGACTGCAACATAAAATTGGTGATCTAGCTCGGGATCTTAACGTTAAATGACTGCTGCATTAAAGGATTTCTAAATGGACCGTCCATTCTCAAAGGTAATACAACAAATGGACAAGAGATCTGGGTTCTATGCTGTTTACTCTGGAAAATCATTTTTACCTGAAGATGTAATCTTGTGATGTAGCCACCAGTATAGCATGACCTCCCACCAAAGAAGGGAGAATGTAATGGTCAGTATAGCAGACAACTGAGGTGTACTGGGTTATGGATATCCTCCATTGTATGTTTCTGCATCTAATTGTAAATAACTTATGTGCTAAATGGGCACTTTGCCAGAGGAGTTAAATTTCCTCAATACAGGACATTAATAGCATTCCAAAAATAGAAATAGAGAAAGTTCACTAGATTGATCCTGGGAATAGAGGGATTTTGTTATGAGGAGAGGTTGAGTAGGTTGGGCTTATACCCATTTGAGTTTAGAAAAATGAGAGGTGACATTATTCAAACATACAATATCATTAGGGGGCTCGATAGGATAGATGTGGACAGGTTGTTTCCCCTTCTGGGACTGTCTAGAACTATGGGGCACAATCTCAGAGTAAGTGATCACCATTTAAAGCAGTGATGAGGATGAATTTCTTCTCTCAAAAGGGTAGTGAAACTGGAATTCTATACCACAGAAGGCTATTGAGGCTGGGTTGTTATGTATACTAAAGGGTCATTTCTAAATAAGACAGATTTTTAATCAGTCAAGGAATTGAGGACAATGGCGTTAAGACGGAAATGTTGAGTTGAGGATTAGCAGATCAGCCATGATCTCATTGAATGGCAGAAGGGCTTTATGGGCTAAACAGCCTTCTTCTGCTCCTAAGTCTAATGGTTCTATTTCCCTTTTTCTCCTGAATTCACTTTCACTGTATATCGACAATGTAAAGAACTCTTTTTAAAAATCTGCTCATGGGATGTGGGTATCATTGGCTATGCCAGCATTTATTGCCCACACTGATCGTCTTAATAAGGTGGCGGTGAGCCACCCTCTTGAACACTAGCTGTCCATAATATCCATTATGCCGTCAAAACTGTACTTTGTTCAGGGGCTGGGGTGCACTGCATCTTTACTCACTTAAAAAGAGAGGCTACTCAAGGGGTTACAGATGCAAGCTAGTTCCTAGACTTTCAATTTTCTACACTGGATTTAGAGATTCAGACGGTCATTTTATTTAAAAAGAAACAATTGAATGAGTTAAAGCTAACATTCTACGCTTTACAAAGAATCATTTCAATTGCACTCTTCGAACACTTGAGAGATTTAAAATATCAATAACCAGTTCTCTTAGCTACATGGAGCTGTTTTGATAGCTATTGCTGCAGAAGCATGCCACACAAGTATGACTGAATCGAGTCCAGGGAGGCCTCAAGTAAAGTTGTGGTTGCATTCCTAAAATTTGGGATGTTGAATGCAACAACTTTAAGCGAAACAACTTTAAATGAAGCATTGCTTCCCATTACAGTCAATGTTAAAATTAAAGTTAGGTACCTGCACATGTTTTTATTTGGAAGAAACAATGTTCAGATTGAAATACAGTACTGTACATGTGGAGGACTGTGTATTTATTACTGAAATCACTTGTAACATAAAATAAATTCGGCGCCTTCAAGGAGTTATATATAGCCCTTAGGGCTAAAGGGATCAAACGGTATGGGAAGAGATAGAGTAAAAGATACTGAATTGGTTTATCAACAGTGGTCACATTGAACGGAGCAATAGACTCCAAGGTCTGAATGGCCTACTCCTGCTGCTTTTTTCTAGGTTTCTATCAACTATACCTTCATCAGTGAAAGACTGACAGAATCCCTGCAATTTCGCAACAAAGCTTCACATTCTGTCAGTGACTTGTTTTCTAGTGCAATACCATTTATCTGTGAAAGAGAAAGACTAATTAATAATCAAGCACATTAATACCAACTGTAAGAGTTCAAATACAACTTCCATGTTTTCAATATTTGATTAGTCATGAAAATTAAGCTTATAAGTTATGCTGCTTTCTCAAATAATTAATCTGCTTACTTCCACAACATCCATATTTGTATTAAGTCTCCCCTTAGCATTTTCTTTAAAATAAAGCTATGTTGGTTGCTTGAGCTGTGCTTTTAATTAATTCATGGCATGTGATGCCGCTGGTTGGACCAACAATTTTTGGCCCACGCATTGCTGCACTCAAGAAGGTGATGGGGAGCTGTCTTCTTGAAACACTGCAGTCCATTTGACATAGGCACTCCCACAGTATTGTCAGGGAGTGTTCCAGGAGTTTGACCCAGTAACACTTAAGGAATAGCTTCCAGGTTCCAGTTAGGATGATGAGTGGATACAGTAGATTTTGCAGGTGGTGTGCTCACCAGATCTTTCTTTGTATTTCAATCACCCAAAGTCACATTTTGCTAACGCTTTTTCTAAACCATCTATTCTCTTGGACATTGTACTCTAAAAGAGATCTTGCTATTATATGCCCTACAGTGTTTATTAATAATTACCCCACATTGACAAAATCTTCCCAGTATTGAGAAATGTTCACACAAACCTTTTACCAATACAGATGTTTCGTGTTATGCACATGATGATTACCTGTTGCTGTAAGCTTCTCCTGCATGTCGTATCCTAATTGAAAGGATGACTAGCTTTACTTGCTACCTTCCACAGTAGTGTTCAAGAGATTGGAAACTCAGTGACATGAGGGACACTGAAACTGTGTTTTACTGCTCCCAAGTACAACATGCTGCACTCCAACAAGCTACTTTGCCAGAGGGAAAAACTGCCATATACTTTAGGTATAGTTGTAAATTCAGACTACTAACTGTAATCAGTCTGTCTCCCACCGTTAAGGATCCTTCTCTAGCAGCAGAACTGCCAGGAACAACAGTAGCTACATATACTCCAGTCTCCAAGCTGATTCCAATGTCTGTAAAAGATAGAAATGCAAAATTGGTACAGCATAGGCTATTTACCCTACATTCAAACATCAAAACAAGCCTTTCTACTTTAAAATACTGTCAAATATGGTTGGCAAGATAACTAGTTTTTTAGGCCTGTGAGTTCTGTTTGTATTCATAGCTCATTAGGCATATGCAATGGTGACTTATGGGCCTCATAAAATACAACTTAATGTTCTCATTAGACTTACAACCTTAGGTCCTGGGAAGTTAAAGATCTACGTGTGCTGATTTAGTATTTCTCCAGCAGCAGTTCCCAACTTTCTAGTCCAAAAAAATTCAAACAGGACAATGATGCATGTAAGAATAGTTACCAAAAATTTTATGACCAGATTATCAAGGATCATGTTGTGGAAAAGATTAGTATCTATAATTTTGACATAAGGCGTTGCCTGTCGCAAGAGTTTACTTGGAATATGCACTGCGTATACAACTCAAACAATGTTTATTAATAATAGATGTGACAAGAGAGAGTCAGAGTATGTAGTAACTCTGAAGAACTAAATTGCATTTATTGCAATACAAGGGGTCTCACAGGTAAGGTTGATGAACTCAGCATATTTAAGAACATGGGATTGGGATGTCATAGCTACTACAGAAACTTGGCTGAGAGATGGTCAAGACAGGCAGCTCAATGTTCCCAGTTTTAGATGCTATAGAAAGGATAGAAAAAGAGGCAAGAAAGGTGGTGGTGGGGTGGCATTTTTGATTAAGGAACACATTACTGCTGTACCTAGGGAAGATATTTCTGAAAAATCGTCCAGAGAAAATACATGGGTAGAAATTACAAATAAAAAAGGAAAGATCACTTTGATGGGATTGTATTATAGGCCTCCTAATAGTAAGAGAGAAATTGAGAAACAAATATTTAGGGAGATCTCAGATATATGTAAGCATAATAAAGTTGTAATAATGGGGGATTTTACTTTTCCAAACACTGACTGGGGCTACCTTAGCGTTAAAAGTTTGGATTGTGAAGAATTTGTCAAACGTGCTCAAGAAAATTTTCTTTATCAATACGTGGATGCTCCTACTAGAAAAGGAGCATAACTAGACCTTCTTTTGGGCAATAAGGCAGGGCAGGTGACTGAAGTAAAAGTGGCGGAACGTGTTGGGTTTTGCGATGATAATTCTATTAGTTTCAAAATGGTTATGGAAAAGGATAAGTCTTCCATAAAAATTCAAGTTTCTCATTGGAGTAAGGCAAATTTTAATGATCTGACACAAGAACTTTCAAAAGTTGGAGTAGACTGTTCGCAAGTAAAAGCACGTCTGACAAGTGGGAGCCGTTCAAGAGCGTGATGATAAGAGTTCAGAGGCATTTTGTTCCTGTTAGAGTGAAGGGTAAGGCTGGTAAGATTAAAGAACAATGGATGAATAAAGATATTGAGGTTCTTGTCAAGAATAAAAGAGAATCTTTTTTAAGATATAGACAACTTGGCTCAATTCAATCTCTTAGTCAAAATAAAAAGTGTAGGGGCATTCTTGAGAGAGAAATCAGGAAGGCAAAGAGTGCATATAGATAGCATTGGCAGATAGGGTTAAGGATAATCCAAAGAGATTCTACAAATACATTTAGACCAAGAGGGTAACTAGAGAGAGGGTTGGATCTCAAAGATCAAGGAGATCATCTTTGTATTGAACCCCAGTAGATGGGAGAGATACTGAATGAATATTTCACGTCAGTTTTTACTGTAGAGAAAGAAATGGGAGACTAGAGAATGTAGAGAAATGAACTTTGATGTTTTAAAAACAGTTCACATAACAGAAGAGGAAGGTTGGGAGGCTTGAGAGAATATAAAGGTGGATAAATCTCTGGGACATGATCTATTGTATTCCAGAATGTCGCGGGAAGTGAGGGATGAAATTATGAGACCCCTTGCAGAAATATTTGCATCATCTATAACTACAGGTGAGGTATCTGATGACTGGAGAGTTGCTAATGCTGTACCTTTGTTTAAGAAGATTATAAGCAGAAACTGGGGAACTATCAGTTGTGGGTAAACTGTTGGAGCTGATCATAAAAGATAGGACTAATGGACAGTTAGAGTGGCAAAAATTGATAAGGGACAGTGAGCGTGGCTTTGTGTGAGGAAAATCGTGTCTCACAAACTTGAGTAAATTTTTTTGAGAAAGTTACCAAAAAGGCTGATGATGGCACACATTGTTTATTTGGATTTCAGTAAAGCTTTTGACAAGGTTTTGCATCATGGACTAATTAGTAAAATTAGGTCACATAGGATTCAGGGCAAGCTCGCCAACTGGATACATAATTGGCTTAACAGCAGCAGACAGACTGGTGAGGGTTGCTTTTCAGAATGGAGGCCTGGGACCAGCCGTGTTCCACAGGGATCGGTTCTGGGTCCTCTTTTGTTTGTCATTTATATAAATGATTTGGATAAGACTACAGATGGCATGGTTAGTAAGCTGGTGGATGACACCAAAATTGGTAAGACAGTGAAGAAGGTTTTTTAAGATTACAAAGGTATCTTGATGAATGAGTCAATGGGCTGAAAAATGTGAGGTATTGCATTTTGGTTTAACAAACAATGGTAGGACTTACATGATTAACGGTAGGGCCTTGGGTAGTGTTGTAGAACAGAGGGGCCTAGGGGTGCAGGTACATAATTCTTTAAAGTTTGTGTCACATATAGACAGGATGCTTACAAAGGCATTTGGCATGCTTGGCTTCATTTCTCAGTTCTTTGAGTGTAGGAGTTGGGATGTTATGTTGATGTCATACAGGACATTGGTGAGGCCTCTTCTGGAATACCGTGTCCAGTTCTCACCCAGCTGTAGGAAGGATATTATCAGGCTGGAGAGTGTTCAGAAGAGATTTACCAGGATGTTACCAGGTATGGAAGATTTGAGTTATAAGGAAAGGCCGGGACTTTTTTCACTGGAGCGTAGGAGGTTGAGGGGTGACCAGACAGAAGTTTGTAAAATAGTGAGAGGTATAGATAGAGTTGATGGCAGTTGTCTTTTCCCCTAAATGGGGAATTTTAAGACTGGGGCTTAGGCTGGGAGCAGAGAGAGATTTAAAAAGACATGAGGCAAATTTTTTTACACAGAGGGTGGTTCTCGTGTGGAATGAACTTCTTGATGAAGTAGTGGATGCGGGTACAATTACAACGTTTAAAAGACATTTGGATGGATATATGAATAGGAAAGGTTTGGAGGGATATGGGATGAGGAGCAGGCAGGAGGGACTAGTTTAGTTTGGGATTACATTTGGCATGGACTGGTTGGACCAAAGGGTCTGTTTCTGTGCTGTATGACTGCATGACTCGATGTTTAAAGATTTTGCAATATGGTCGGATTATATAATAATAGAACCCAAGTACTGAGACATGCAGGCTAAATATGTCCCTGCACAACAAACTAGTGAACTAAACACCTTAGATCTCCCTTATATGATGCATCCTCAATGCGGCAGTTTACACTCCCTAGATTCACCATATTTATGTCTTTTCTAACAGAACTATAGCTGTAAATGAATATACCTTTTCTTGATTTTCCTTATTATTAACTCCTGACTATTCAATATGTCCCAAGGTCAATGACAAAAATGTGTAGCCATATTACGAAAATAAATAACATGTGTAACCCACTGGACATCATACAGCAGTGGAGATGCATCATACGATTAAGCAAAACAATGATTTCAAGTAACTGGTCATAAATTTCATTTGCATTTATTCCAATTACATTTTTAAAAGATGCATAACGATCAGTTATTTGAATCAGCAGTTAATTAGCAACTGATGTGAATTAGAGTCTTTTCTGGAAATGGAAACTGAATTGGATACAGAAATTTAAAATTACCTTTGTGGCCCACAAGATTGATATGAACTGGGGTAATAGCTCTGCCTCCCAGAGACTTTCTCCTTCGAACTATCATGTTAATTACCCCTCCACCGTTTAGTACAGCTTTAATGACATGCTTTCTGTCCTTGTTGGTAAGATCTACATCATTTATCCTGAGCAAGCAATCATTCACCCTAAAATATAAATAAAAATGTGCAGTAAACAAAGTCATCAAAGACAATTTTTGTATCATTTAATGGAACTTTTCTTTTAAAAAATATTTTTCTTTCAGATGCAGAAAAGTCAGAAATTTGCTAGTCTTACCTTAACCTTCCATCTGCAACACTCCCTTTATCTACCTTTGTAACGAATATCCCAGAGTCTCCAGGTAGGTAAGGCTCATCAGCTCCTCCTGCTACATCAAAACCTAATGCCTTCAAATCCATGTCATCCTACATCAAAAATAAAATTCACTGTATTTTCTTCTCCAGGCTCTTGGGTTTACAACTGCATGATAAGCAATGACAAACAAAGATTCACCAAGGCACACAGAATACTTCCTTCACAAATGTGCTGTATAACGTACTTGTGATAGCAGACCCAAATGACACTGCCAGCTCCAATGTTGTGGAGTCGTGAAGTTCTGCTGGGAGTGTACTATAGACCCTCTAACATTCCAATAGAAATTAAAGAGCAGATATGTTGGCAAATTTCAGAGAAGTGTAAAACTAATAGGGTTGTGATAGTAAGGGATTTCAAGTTACCCAACATTAACTGGGACAGTCATAGTATGAAAGGTTTGGAGAGAACAGAATTCTTAAAATGTATCCAGGACAGCTTTCTTGGCCAGTACATAAAAGGTTCCAAAAGAGCGGGGCGGTCCTAGACTTAATTTTAGGTAACGAAGCCAGGCAAGTGTTTGAATTAGCACTGGGAAACATTTTGCACACAAGTGATCATAGCTCTGTGAGATTCAAGGTTGTTATGGAAAAAGACAAAGATGGGCCTGAAATCAAGGTTCTAAACTGGGGTAGGGACGATTTTAATAAGATCATGTATAGTTTGGCCACAGCAGACTGGAAGCAGGTACTTTTAGGTAAATGTGTCAAAGCTGTGGGACACATTCAAGAAGGACATAGGCAGTGCACAGGGCCATCATGTTCCAATAAAGATAAAAGTTGGCACAAACAAATCCAATGAACCCTGGATATCAAGGGACATTTGAGATTGGATAAAGAGAAAAGACAGGCTTATGGCAGATACAGCAAGCTCAAAACAGCAGAAGCCCTAGAGAAGTTTGGAATGTGTAAGGGGAAACTTAAAAAGGATCACGAAAGAATGGTAGGTAACCTAAAGGAAAATCCTAAGTTATTTTACCAGTACATTAAGGGTAAAAAGATACATAGGGAACGACTCAGGCCCATTAAGGATGACAGTGGCAATTTGTGCGTGAAGCTGGAGCACAAGGGTTCTAAATGAATACTTTGTGTCAGTGTTCACTCATGAGAGAGATATGGGTATATAAATAAGGAAAAAGGACTGTGATATACTTAATGAAATTAGCATAGACAGAAAGGAGGTTCTGAGTGGTCTGGCAGGTTTAAAAGTAGATAAACACCCAGCGTCGGATGAAGTGTATCCAAGGCTGTTGAGTGAGGCAAGGGACAGAATAGCAGGGGTGCTAGTAATAATTTTCAAGTCCTCTCTATCTACAGGAGTGGTGACAGAGGACTCAAGGACAGCCAATGTGGGGCCATTATTCAAGAAAGGAGCAAGGGATAAATCAGGAAACTACAGGCCAGTCAGTCTAACCTTAGTGGTGGAGAAATTACTGGAAGCAATTCCAAGGGACGGAATTAATCTGCACTTAGAGAAGCAAGAATTAATCAAGAACAGTCACCGTTATTTTGTTCACCGTGTCTGATCAACTCAATCGAATTTTTCGAAAAGTTGACCAGGTGTTTAGATGAGGGCAATGTATTTGATGTAATCTACTTGGATGACTTGAATATAAACAGTAGCCACATTTAAATCTATTCCAAGTACACAAATAATCAATTCTTCTCCTTTATCATATTGCATGTTTATTACAAATTAAACTTTAATTTCTTCAAACTACATTCATATTTAGATTGACATTTATGCCTTCCATTGTTAAAAATGGACTGAACAATCCAAACTCAGATCCGAAGCCCTATGAAAGTCTGCAAAATGCAATTAATCATAATTTAGCACAAATTAATAACCCCAGAGGCTATATTTGAAGATGATGCAGTTAACAAAAGGATAGATAGAATAAGGGCACTTCCCTCAGATACAGGGAACTCTATTTAAAGTTGATTCCTTTTTTTTAAATTCACTCATGGAACAGGGTCACTGGCTGGCCAGCATTTATTGCCCATCCTGCGTTGCCTTTGAACTGAGTGGCTTGCTAGGCCATTTCAGAGGGCAGTTGAGAGTCAACGACATTGCTGTGGGTCTGGAATCATACAGACCAGACTGGTTAATGATGGCAGATTCCCTTCCCTGAAGGGCATTAGTGAGCCAGATGAGTTTTTCTGACAATCAACGATGGTTTCATGGTCATCAGTTTATTCTTAATTCAAGAACATTAGTTTTTGGACTAACAGCCTTGCGGTAATACCACAAGCTCATTGTCTCCCCACTAATTTAACATTTCACTTAAAGTTGTTTCACTTTAACATTACCAATAAATTAGGACAATGTATTTGTTTAACGTTGTGAGTTTCAATTATTTCCCACAAACCTGTTGTATGACCTCCCACATACAATTTGGGCTGGCCTTCAAACTGCTCCTGTCCCTGTTTCTCACACCCCACCCCAGCCCCCTTCCCACCTTTCAAAATATTTTCTTTAAAGTTTTTAAATTTTAAAGTTCTCTCCTTTAAACCTCTCCTATCAGCTTTCTCTGTTGCCAGCCGTTCCAAATTTGAACTGCAGTCCTGGGCTTCACCTGGTGGCAAATATTGGGCAGTGCAAGTAGATCAGCCTGCAATGAGCAGCTTCTGCCACTAGATGGGGCCCAGTCAATTAAAATTTAATCTGGTGATTTTAAGATTTGATTCATAGAATCCCCCAGTGTGGAAACAGGCCCTTCGGCCCAACAAGTCCACACCAACCCTCACAGCATCCCACCCAGGCCTATCCCCCTTTAACCCTCCTAATCTAGGCACCCCTGAACACTACAGGCAATTTACCATGGCCAATCCACCTAACCTGCACATCTTTGGACTGTGGGAGGAAACCCATGCAGACACGGGGAGAATGTGCAAACTCCACACAGACAGTCGCCCGAGGGTGAAATCGAACCCGGGTCCCTGGCACTGTGAGGCAGCAGTGCTAACCACTGAGCCACCGTGCCGCCCATTTTTTTCCAGCAATTTCCAGCTCTGTAATGATTATCAGCTCATAGATATTTATTTATAATTGTCCTACCTGTTCATCCCTTTTGTTGCAAATGCAGTATGGGATTCAGATGCAGAGCCTTACCTGCTGGTGTACTCTTTTAATCTCTGTCCCAAGCTGTCTCACTCTGCTTATAATCACCCGAATCGCTATCATTACAATTGTATTGTATATCTTCTATATTTTAAAATTTATCTTTTTTTAGACATTATTTTGTTTAAGAATGTAGGCATTTACAGTTGTACACTATTTTAACAATGTTTTACAGTTGTTTTCTGCTGAGTAAAATATACAAGCACCTAACTTAGTGTTGCTTTCATGTTTGTAAATTAATTTATGTTGCAACTGCTCTTAGCTTGGAACTCATATTACTGCACATGATGCAGAGTACAGTACTTTTTGTTAAATAAAAATACTGAGCAAAAAATGAGTGCATGAATCTAACTAGTTTTAATATTGATTGTTATAGAAGTTAGTCCTTCACTTTACATTGCAATTTTCAAGAACGTAACCAAAAAAAATTCAGCGAGGACTTCCAGTCTGTTGTTAAAGTATACATAGACAGTTTCACTTTGTATAAAGTGCTACATACATAGTGCTATGCATGTATAAAGTGCTAAGTATACAAGTGCTACGCATGTATAAAGTG